ACTACACACTAAGAAGTAACACTACACACTAAGAAGTAACAGTACACAGTAACTACACACTAAGAAGTAACACTACACAGTAACTACACACTAAGTAGATATTATATTCGAAGCAGAGTCATGATCCATTGTGAGACTGAGTGGTTCACATTCAGGACCATGGACAGCTCCTTGTATCATTATGAAATATTTGCAGAGTTTAAAGTTTGTTTGAAAGTTTCCACAAACTTTTGATCAATTATGTACAAACCTAAAATAAGATGCATTGGTTGGTGGATCAGTAAGTTAATTAGTTGGTATTTAGATTAATAATTAATCATCTGTTTACAATCATTTTCTCTAATGTAAAGATTTTATAATTTTTTGGATACTTGAGTTAAACTATTTAGATTTTTGAACTAGTTATGAAACAAAGCAAACAATGTTAAGATAAGCTGCATCAGGTAGTTTATCAATGAGTGTAATTAAGAGTCATTTTAAAGCAAAAACAATGGCAAACATTTTCTCAAATATGAGGATTCGGTGCATTTCTTTATCATATATTTCTTTGACAGTGAAGTAAAATTTATTTTTGTTTTCAACAAGTACTTAAACTTGATCTTCAACTGTCGGTGGGTCAAGAAAATAACTTGCAGCGAAACTAATAATGAAAATGTTGGTACTACTTTCTAATATGATGCTCTTTAATACATGTTTACAAGTAGGATGAGTAGATATTTGCTTCACAAATACTTCACTACACACTGATACTACTCACTAGTAACTCATAGAAACATTAAATGTGCAAATGTGGTTACTTGATTTGAACTTTGTGTTTTTAATCAAAATGAATAATTGAGCGTGAGTGCAACACACACACACACACACACACACACACACACACACACACCACCACCACCACCACCACCACCACCACCACCACCACCACCCGCAGTGATGCTCCATGTCAGCAAGGAGCAGAGAGCATGGTGGGAGTGAGAGGGCGTTGGGTCCGGGTCTAATGAGGGACTTGATTGTAGGATTAATATAACTGAGTGTTCACAGCTGGAGTAATGACACATTGTGTAATGAGATGTCCTCCCACTCGGCACTTGATCTCAGAGATGGAGTAATAATCGCCCCTCCTCAACCTTGATGGAGAAATCAAACGTTCATGCCTGGATTACACTGTTGAGCCGGGAAATAATGGGTTGCAGCTTGTGTGAAGGAGTAGTGACCACACCGTAGATTTGATTTTACACTGGTATTGACTCCTACCAGTAGACTGAGGTACTTTCATTTCATACAAAGACGTTTAAACATTTCCTTTAACTTTTACTGTCCCTGCTGCCGTAACGTTTTTACACATTTTTGAATTTGTGTTTTTGTCCCGGCCTTTCCTGTACATTTATTTGTTGGTTTGTTTGAAAGCAAGATAACAACTATTGGATGGATCATCACAGAACTTGGAAGGATGCATTATGGGTCAGGGAAGAACCCCTTCAAATTAAATGAGTGTATTTATCATTAGTAAAATGAAAACTCTGACCTGCTGGAAACTCGAGAGGAAAAGTCGGCTGATGAACAATATCAGGATTTATCCTCCGGAATATCTTTTCCAAATTTCTGCAAATGAGATGAAAGCTGAAAATACAAGTGTTACTGGTTGAATATTTTATTGCAGCTCTGAGGATTTGATTCACTGTGGACTGTGATCATATCTTGCAGGTCTGTGAGAGCACGTCCCACAGCAGATATGAAGGAGACTCATCTAGAAAAGAGAAATCTGTCGCTCTGAGGTCAATGTAAAAAAAATTCTTGAAAGACTGATATTTGTTTGGTGCACAGCCTTTTGAGGAACTAACTTCAGTTTAAGAAAACTGGTGCAGATGCTAAATTACTAAACTGAATGTTGGCACAAGAATTCAGCTTGAACTAAGACAGTGCTGCATTTTTCTCAAAACATCAACCAATAAAAAACTGTTAATCTCAGTCGTGTTGTGTCGCACTGCCAGAGGGAACAAAAAAAATAAATAAAAAACTCTAACGTGTGCCGCCCCCACATCAACACCCACGCAGGAATCCCCTGCCACTGCTGCGGCGGTGGTCTGGAAATCAGTCCCTGCGTGATCTCCCTCCCTGGGCCCCCGTCGGCCTCTCGTCTGGCTCCCAGCCTGACCCATAACACCCCCCCACCAAAGGAACATATGTAGCGGTGGAGGAGGCAGCAGGCAGTCGGCTCCACCAGCATCTTATTTTTCACACCACACAGGATGGAGGGCGATTCACAGACACATAAGAAAGGTGACTGAGTGTTATATAAAGAGACAGAGACACTGCAGGAAGACGTGGGCAGGGAAGAGACGAGCACGACAATACAGAAGGATTTTATATATATAATTACAACATTTTTCAGCATTCGCATATTTGAATCCATACAACAAATCGAGACACAGCTTTTAAAATCTATAAATAAAAGCAACACAAAAGATTTTACACAGTTATGTACACAATGAGGATATTATCTCGGGCTGCTGGTTCATCTCCAGGGTTCAGTGCCTGTGTAGAGATGAACAGGATGTTATCTTTCAGCATCTACACTGATAAAAGTCACTGCTCCTCCCCGTGTGCTCTACCTGGCCTCTCCTTCCCACACCAGCTCTGACACTCCTGCCTTGTGGAGAACCGGTTTCGGTTGCCGCCACAGCCGCCGTACACAAATGGCCGGCACTCCCCAGAGCGAGGGTGGAAGTACCAGAGCAGAACGTACTCGGAGCACGTCCCCTCTGACATGGGCTCCAGACAGCGGTCAGCTGCCACGGCTGCACGTCAGACGACAAAAAGAAAGTGAGGAATAAAGTCGTAGCTGTTCTTCAAATCAAGATGCTGTAGATTTGTTCAATTTTCCAAAACTTCAGGTGTGGAATAAATAATATTCGCCATCAACTGAGTCCCTGCGTGCTTTATTTATTGTCCTCTGTTCTGACGTAAACAAAAGGTTTAATCACCACGCTCTCCGCTGCACTTCAGATCTGTTTCCACACAGGCAGTCAAACATTCATGGATTAAATTTCTGCTCTTATCTTTCTCCCCCACCTTGTGCTCTCAATAATTTCAAGTCATTACTCATAGATGATCCAAAAAAAAATAGGAGACTTGAGACACAGAGCAAGTAAACAAGGGGGAAAGAAGAGAGGAGGAAGAGAGATAAGGAGAAAATGAGTTGTCTTGGCCACTCACCAGCTGTGTTTGCTCCAAATATTCTTCTTTTCTTCCTCTGTCCCCACTCCGCCGCCGCTCCACCAACAGAATCTGAAGCCAGAACCAATGAGAGCGATTAGACGCTGGTACATTCAGTTGTCAAGGAGCAAGAAGAAGCTGGTGACATTCTGACTTATCTCAAATCATAATGAGAGAGAGACAGAGGTGAGGGACAGGGGCAGAGCTGCAGCACTTATTTTATATATATTTTTACTTTGTGTAAATGTACAATCTTAGAGGATTATAATGGGTAACCTTCAAATTGCTTTTCAATTGTTTATTGTTTACTTTTTAACCATTTCCTGTTGAAACCCAAAATATCACATAAGCAGCAAGACGTGTGTCTTTGTTCCACATGAGCTGCTGCGTTTCTTTATTTCAGTTTGATGAAACAAATCATCAAGTGCAAGTGATCGTTCTTTACAAGACACATTTCATTATGAAAAATGTGTAATTATGAAAAGATAAATTCTAGCAGCTCGATCAAAGTAACAAAGCAAAGCCTGAGTGAAGTTAAAATAATATTTCGTGAAGGGGTTGGGATAACATGTTGGAGCTAATCCAGATAAACAGGTGAATCCAGGTTGTTTTTGTTGAGGACGTTAGCCTCGGCAGAAATGAACAGTGTCAGAGCTTCCTTCTAATACAGGAAATATGAAAGTTAATGTGGAAAGTAAATGCTTCAGCTGAAGGAAACCTGTGATGTCACAAAGTGATGGGGGTAATGGTAAACTGCTCATCTTCATCTTCAACATATTTCTTGTCTCATTTTGAAATAAAGTTAAACTGCAGGTCAGATGTTGGTACAAGTGGCAATTTTGATTCAAATCTCAGTTTAACTCACATTAACGTGTTGAGACTGCTCTGTGGCCCACTGTGCTTGTGCACATTCATTCATTTGTACACAGAGTGATTAGTTCTCATCATTTCTGAATAATCACGCTGACTTTGACGACGGGCAATGACGGGCTCACTCTTTGATTAGGTTTCTGGTCACTGAAGCTACAATAACTCAGGACGCACACAGATATTATGTCCCCGAGGCTTTAGTCACTAATGAGCTTTTCATAATATTGTGTTGCTACATGATGACCTTTTGTTTAACATTCTGACTTTCTCAGAAATAGCAGCACTGGAGAAACGGACACAATCTGAGGCCGACGACAATGTTTTTAGCATTTTCAGCATTGACAGTGATAACACAGGGAGGACAAAGAGAGGTGTGATGTGCTGAAGGAAACTGTGGTTTTATGTAATCAATACTTGAAATCATGGTGAAGAGAGAAAAGGCTTCCAGACCTGTGGAACCTTCTCCAATCTTAACTAACACACGAGAAGACATGTCTCCTTCAGAGCTGTTACAAAACCACACCCTAGAAATCGGTGTGTTTGGCCAGGGGCCTGCTAACGTACCAGTGCGGTTTGGTATCATCCCTTCTTCTCCAGGGATCACAGGACTGGCAGGACCTCCATATTCTTCCTCTTCCACTTGATCACCCACTTCTTCTACCTCTCTGTCACGAGAGAGAGATATCACCACATCTCCTGGCTCAGTTTTACTGTCAGTCCCTGACGTGGTTCCGTCTGGATCCACTGACTTTACCATGAACTTGTATTCCAGTCCTGCAAAGAGAAAACCAGGACACACTGACGTGGATGGACACAACATAACAATGCTGATGTTTTATATTTTCTATCTTGTGCATTCAGAGACAAACTTTGCAGCCATTTGTGTTTTGAGACGTTAAACCTTGACCATCAGAATAATAATGATCCTCTGAGGCGTGTGGATTCTTTGGATTCTCGGTGAGGCATCCCACTTAATTGCGGTCTCGTGTTTGTGAATGGCTCCGCTGTTGCTGGCACCATGGTGTGTGTTCCTCTGAGAGAACATAACAGATGGCACAACACACGCGGGTGCCATGCTGCTGCCACAGGAGCGCTACCACAAACAAACCCACACACACACTTACCACACTTCTCTATCACCTCCTGGGTGACTAGCTCCTTCACGTCTTCAGCCTTCACAGAGAAACACAAGATTCAGACATTTCATTCGCTCTGTAATTTATAAGCAATGTTTGTATATGTATAAATATATATGTTGTGTGGGTGTGATTCTCTGTGTTTGTGTTAAATACGTACTGAGAGTCCAGGACCTCCCTTCTCCCCCTTCACTCCCGTACTCCCAACTATGCCCTGTAAGAAAAAACACATTCACATTTATCTGTGGTCTAAGGTTTGGGGGAGTGTGCAGGTTGTTGAGCGGAGTGATGATGATGCGTCTCACACTCTGTCCTCTTTGTCCTGGTGTCCCCGGTGCTCCCCTCTGACACGGTTTCATTCTTCCTCTTCGGCCTCTGTCCCCCTGTTTGACGAAAACCAGAGCGCACGCAGAATAAACAAACTCTGAGCTTCCAAATCTTTCCATACGCCACTTCTACGTCAGCGACAGAAAGATTCCACAGCAGCTCATCTGATCACGAATGAACGACAGACCAATTAGGCACATCCTTCCATTAGAGGTTCCCAGCCCCTCTCTGTCAACACAGAGTCTAGTAATTGCTGCTGAAAAGAGCTAATTGAGTAAGATATTATTTGAAAGCTGCAGACAGAAATAAACCTGTGTGTGTGTGTGTGTGTGTGTGTGTGTGTGTGTGTTAATGTAGGACACGTCTCTGCTGCAGTACACAGACCACATGCTGCCACTCAACACTCAGACGTGTTGATGACCGTAATCAGGCTCAGCTCGTCCTTCTGTTCTCCGTGTTCTGTCACACTCTCATTCTTCTTTTCTTTTAAGTCGGACTAATACATAAATGTAATTGCAAGAGACAAGTTTCGAGTGAGAGACGCACTTAATCAGTTTGAACAGATATGTTTCTGTACTGATGCCTGTTCTGCCTCATCTGTGGTGTAAGTGTGTTTTCTCTAAGAACAGATTGATTTCAATATCCTGACACCACCGTATCATTTATGGATGAAAGGTCTGTGGTTGCCAAAAACATCTATCGTGTGGTAATAACTTACTGCATCTCAAGAAAACAAATTATGACTAAATCACGTGTGTGTTTATTTCCTTCCTGCATGATTTCAAGAAAATTTAAACATGGTGTCTCCTGGAGCCCGACCAATTTATCAACCGGCTACAAAACCAGCCAGTGGGAGTCTTTCATAGATAGTGATCATCTGATGATATGAAAACTTTGACTTACTATTTCACTGTTATAACAATACAGAAAATATGTGTATTACTCTTTAAAGTTTGTGTTAAAAAATATTTTCTTAGCTCTATATATTTGGTTTTACTTTTTCTCTTAATTTAAAATACATTTTATGGTTGAACTGTAAAATATTAAACCTAAATTGTCATTAGAATATCAGTATCCCAAATCTGTTACTTTCCAATATATGCATCGGCCACCAAACAGTGTCTTCACAAAAATGTATGATCACTGAAGCATAAAAACATCAGTCAATATATCCCAATACTTTAAAGTTAGTAAGTATACTGTACCTTAGGCCCATTGCCCCCCCGAGGACCTGGGGTCCCTGGTGGCCCCTCATCTCCGTCCCTGCCCGGACTCCCTGCTGAGCCCTTAAAACCTGGGAAGCCTGAGAACCCTGATACGCCCTGAATTCAACAAGAAGAGGAAAAACACCAAGGTTCATTTGAACAGTGGAAGATACAAACACATAGAACTCAGTGATATTGCTGTTAGTTTACTGACCCTTTCCCCTTTCACTCCTGGCTCACCATCAGTGCCACTGGTTCCCCCTTCTCCTTTGTCGCCCTAAAGTTTCCCATGATGGAAACCACACATAAAAAAATAAAAATAACAACACTGAACTTGTCGGGGGAGGAGAGAGAGAGAAGTACGTGCACACTTCACCTTGCGACCTGTGAGTCCATTAAGTCCAGGCATACCGGGGGCGCCAGGTAACCCCATTTCTCCCTGTTTTGCCAAGACACCATGTTCACATACATCATACACATAAATCTTCTTTGGTGTGATCAGATCTAAATTAGGTTCTAACCTTCTCTCCATCCAGGCCTGGATTCCCGATGCGTCCAGGTAATCCTCTGAAACCCTGGATAAGCAGGTGACACGGCAGAAAGTGATGAAATAAACAACATCCAACTCGATCAACTGTGACAAATCATAACATCTCACCTTCTCTCCTTTCTCCCCTTTGTCTCCTGGTAATCCTGCTTCCCCGGAATCACCCTGTAGAAACAATCAAATCCCAGACGAAATTTTAAAAAGAGGTTTTGAAAATGAAAAGGATCTTGTTTGCTTGAATCATTTTCTTCTGTGTACCTGATCACCCTTTTGACCTTGCAGTCCTACATCTCCTTTGTCCCCTTTGGCCCCATCACCTCCGTGATCTCCATTGCGACCCTGTCATCACACGATGCAAAAATACGACTGCATGTGATTCCTTGAATTTAATGCTGTAACTTTTTCATCCAAAATGTTGTATTTTAAAAAAGACAGATTTACCATCACTCCGTTGAGTCCTGGCTCTCCTGGATCTCCCTGTAAGAGAAGGTGTTGTATTTCAAGTTCAATAATATAAAGCATTGGAAACTGCAGTGTCAATATATTCCAATGACATATCACTAACCTTCTGGCCCACAGGTCCTCGTGCTCCGAACCTTCCCAATGCCCCCTTAGTGCCTGCGTCACCCTTCAAGCCCTTGTAAAAACAATTTAAAATTCATTCCATTATAATGATGTATTATAGCTGATGATTATCTGACAAAGACATAATCATGGCAGGTATTAGTGACACTGAGCCTCTATCGCATCATGTCCGAGCTCTAAATGTCTCGTAAGGATTCATCTTCTTCAGGTTTTATTACCTTGAATCCAGGAGGGCCGTCCTCGCCCTTTTCTCCTTTGTCACCATCAAAACCTGGTGGACCTCGTTCCCCCTGAAACGACACAACTACTCAGCTCCTCGTCTGTCTTTGTGTTTACTGTGTTTTTAGATTATTGCTTTGTGTGTGTTGCAGATATGTTTGGATTTGTACCTCAGCTGCAGAGGTTATGTTTTCCACGCCCTGTCCGTTTGTAAGCAAGATTACACTTAAACCCAATTCCATGAAACTTATTTGAAAGGCGCATTATAGGTCAACAAAGAACAGATTACATTTTGGAGTGGATCTGGATTGCGGAGCAGATCCAGGAATTGTTTTGAAAATGTTTACAATTTTCCCGTAGAGCAATTCATGGATCTTTCTTCCAATGAGTGTGTATTTTATTTATTTGTATTTTGTATTTAAATATAAACTTCTAGTCATCTCACCGGATTTCCTTTGACTCCCTTAAATCCTCGAGGTCCTTGGATTTGAAGCACACTCCCCTGTAGGAAGGAAATGAAGAGTGAAATCCTGCAAACAAAAATAAACTACAACAAATAATAAAGTAATTATTGCAGATTCACATGAAATTCGTACTTGTAGAGTTGCAAAGACCAAAAAACTACTAAATCCCCATACCCTCTCTCCTCTGATTCCAGGTAGCCCACGATCTCCCTGAAAAGAAAAACAAATCTTAAAATGATTTTCCGCACGTGATTATTTCAACACAGATTACTTCATATCTTGTGTTGCCATGTCGATGCGCAAGGAAAATTGTTTTCCCCTCGAGGCATTTTATTATATCCTTTCAATTACAATATAATCTAGTTGAATATGATCCGCCATTGATAAAATGGAATGAAAGGTTGATTTGACAGGAAGGAGCGTGATGAATAAATCTCAGCTGTGACACTTCAGTTGAGACGGAAACAAACGCACATGAAGCCGGACCTGACTGACAACTGACATCGCTCCTATCAACACAGTCGGGACCTGGCGGCTCTGAAAAATGAATGAGAAACTGCTATCTCGGAAATGAAAGGCGTCTGCAAGAGCATCTAGACAGTCAAATGCCAGCGTTGGCCTCTTCTCTCGAACCTCGTGACTCACTGTTGACGCAAACAACGGTAAATGATGTGTACTTGAGATTGTGAACATGCAGGCAGATAAAGCCAGCATCTCAGAAATAGCAGCACTTTCATGCTACTTTGTGCTCTGTGGTTTTACAGAAAGCTGAGAAGAACATCCAGTATCTAGGTTGAACATACTTGGTGATGAAACATGTCAGAAAGGTTAAAAGTAAGCATAAGACCTTTTTTGTCCTTAAATAAAATTGTCATGATGGTGACATCAACTTATATCAATTCCTGAAGAGGTTCCTGCATCTCGGTTTATCAGACTACATGTAGTAGGTGTTTCATCCTTTATGTCAGGTTTAAAATGTTCAATATAACTTCACCTTCTCTCCTTTGTTGCCTCGTAATCCTTTTGAACCCTTGTAGGAAAAAAAGTGAAAGAATAAATTATTTGTTCTCATGTTGTACTCAAGTGAATGAGCTTAAATGAAATGTTGTACTCATTTCTATGGGTTTGACTTGTTACCATATGTCCAGGCGATCCCTTAACACCCAGAGGACCCATTTCACCCTGAGAGAAAAGACATACTTTGAGTTTTTTTACACAGTCCACCAACATCACTGATGTGTTTGAAGAGGTTGAACAGCAACTTTATTAATACAGATCATATTGTGTAAATCTGGGGACTAAAAATATGAACTGTAACACTAACTATTTCTGTTAAATCTGAAATAAACTTAAGTTGTCTGACAATTGTGATCTCAGCTCACCCTTCTGCCTGGAACACCGGTCACACCCCTGGCACCTGGTTCTCCTGGAATACTGTCACCCTGATGAGAGACGCAATAAAGAATTAATAAAGTCACGATAAACATCAATGAAAGTAGCACAATGTCACTTATAAATAGAAAACTAAATTCTTATATTGAATTATTGGATGAAACGCAATAAAAGCAGATGCCACTCAAATATCATACATGCAGTATTTGTACCTTTTCTCCTTTTACTCCAGGTACACCAAGTGGACCCTTCATGACAGAAAGTGGTAGAAATAAATATCATTAAGTGCAATTTCCAGCTGGTAATCAGATGTGAAAAAGAACCCTAATTCCAACATATCACAAATGGAAAAGCAAAATCAGACGCTGCACGTGCAAAGATCACTTGTGTTTTCTCACATGAGATCCAGTTGGTCCTCGAGGTCCAGGAGCTCCAGGTGATCCGTTCTTCCCCCTTTTACCTCGTTCACCCTGCATCAGCACAAAAGATGTCTTACTCCTCTTTTAAACCCAGTGACACAACGTTAGAGCTAAACTTGTAAGATGACGCACCTCTCTGCCCGGCTCCCCTGGGTCCCCTGGGGGACCCCTATGGCCCGGGGAACCTTGGATGCCTGCGTTACCACGGATACCCTGGATGCCCTGAGCACCCGGAGGCCCTGGCTCACCTGGTTCACCCTGAGGTAAGACAGAGGAAAACAGAAAGAAAGAAAGAGAGAGAGGAAAACACTCAGTTAAAGGTCACTTGTTTTGTGTCATGTCATGGTTCAGCTCTTCTATTACTCTTGAATAATTGCTTTGGAGTAAAGTCTGTTTCCCTTTATGTTAGTAAAAGCTCAAACAAAACTTCAAATGAGAGACTGAGTCAGTGAGTCAATTAAGTTTGCTAAATTAAAACCGCAGTGAGAAAAGTCAATCACACTGAATGAAAGCCTGAAGTTAATTGATTTAACGCAGACGTCATGAGTAAATTGCTGCTTGTAATTTATTTGAATGTTTTTAAACTAGGAAGGACGGACATGTCACCTTGTGTCCCGGAGGACCAGCCTGGCCCTCAGGTCCTCTGTGGCCGATGCCTGGTTCTCCCTAAACAAACGAAACAACTGTCAGACCACCGCATGAGAAAATATCAACTCTCTGATTTCACACACAAACACGCAGCTTAGTTATGAGTCGACTTTCACCTTTTGTCCCATTTCACCAATTTCCCCCTGAAAAGTGAGAGCAGAAATCTGTCAGAAAGTTGAAATATACCTCAACACACCTTTTTTTTCAAGTGCCAAAACAAATAAACAAAAGAGTTTGAAATAAAGAAAAAAGTAAAGAAGAATAAGCAGAAGTGTCAGCATGTTTAACAAGGGGAATTATTCATGTGTGCTTTAATCTACTGTCTCGCAGTCAAACAGAAATAGAGCAGCAGGGACATCAAAAGCTTTGGACTCCTCTGGCTTCACTGACGAGAGAGGAGCCCCCCCCCCCGAGCTCTGATGTCATTCACTGATGCAACGTGGGTAGGTGGTGGGGGGGGGGATGATATTTTTATGAAGCGGTGGCACATTTCACTTGGCGACTGTCATTCCTGCTCTGCTATGTCGGGATGATGATGATGATTTCAACTCAGCGGGATCGTATCTGTGAACCCTCACGGTGGAAGGAGAGGATGTTCACAGGAAATTATGAAACTAAAAACATGTTCACTCAACTTTTCTATCCATGTAGACATGGATGTGAATCTCTTTTACATTAGCACCATGTAGACCCAGATAGAATGGCCGCCCTGCGTTTGTTTGCCTCTGCCAGCTTGTGCAGTTTCAGTCAGTTCAGGTGTTTCTGACTCTCACTATCATTTTCAGGGCACTGTGACCTTTGACCACGGATATCTCATCAGTTCATCCTTATGTCCAAATGACAACTGGTCGAAATTTGAAGAAAATCACGTTCCAGAGACCAACATCATGATTTGCGAGGCCACTGTGAACTGTCATTGAGTCATTTTATCCAGAAGTCCAACTGAACATTTGTACCAAAGATGAACAAATTCCCTCAAAGTGTTTTGGGGATAATGAAAAGACTAAAAACGTGTTTTGTGACAACCGCCCAAAAAACCACCCTCAGCTACTGACTGCATAATACAAGCTGTGTACTTCATGGTGTAATATTCAGAGTAACAGGAAAAGAAACATGGAGCATTCAACCAGTTCTGATTGTGAGTTTTATTTTTAGTTACCTTTCGTCCTGGTTTTCCATTCTCCCCTGGTTGTCCCTGCACACAAGAGCAAAATCTAAATAAATGAATGAACAAAAATTGAAATAAAAAGCCAGAAAGTAAATAAAAACAGTTTCAGTTAAAGTCTGAGAAAACACCTGATCAAATGTTGAGTTATTTTTATTGAATGTGTTGAATCATGAGTTGTACTTTGTGTCCTCACCTTTAGGAAGAAATACTCTGGAGGGTACGGGTAAGGCTGTCCAGTCTCCTCACCATAACCTCCTGCTCTCCCCCTCTCCATCTCCTGCCTCCTCCTCTCCCACTCCTCCCTCTCCCTGTCCAGGTCCCTCTCCCCCTCCTCTCCCTCTGTCCTCTCCCTCTCAGCCTCCCTCTCTCTCTCCACTTTCTCTTTTTCCAGCTCCCTCTGTCTCTCCATTTTCTCCAGCTCTGCCTCCCTCTCCTTCTCCAGCTCCTCTCGCTCTCTCTCCATCTCCAACCGCTCCCTCTCTCTCTCCCTCTCCAGGTCCTCCTCCTCTCCTTCCCTCTCTCGATCCACATCCTCGTAAGGATCCCAGTCGTAGTCTCCGCTCCTCTCCTCCTCACCATAGACTGGACCAGGGACAGTTTCTGTAAATCCATGCGGCTCTACTTCCACATCTTCAGCTTTAGTCTCTTCACCTCCTCCACCTTGTGTATCTGCATGAATCTCTCCCTCTGTCTCGCTCTCTCTTCTTTCCTGCCTCTCTCTCCTGGTGTGTTTGTGTAGATCAGGGTTCGTTTGCTTCCTCTGTGGAACAAAAGCGGCACCATCTTAATTTGGATTAACACTCACGGTCTTTATCTGCGTTGTTGATGATTAAAGTGGAGACCTACACTGAAGCTGTGGAAACCTGCAGCTCCAGAGGACAGATGCTGAAATTAAAACGAAACAGATGAAATTGGTGTAATTTGATCCTCGTGATTTTTTTAAAAGTGGGAACGTGTTGGAAATCATTACTTTCTGTTCCTCCTTGAACCGATTCCTTCCACCCGGGGCACCTGGCATGAACACCTAAAATATAAAAAAGGTCACTACCACTGTTTTATATTACTATTAGTGATAAAGAGCAGGTACTTACAATGGAATCGGGCCAGGGGGCGCCTCTTCTCACCCTCATTTGAGATTGAGGCACCTGTCGAGTTCCCCAAAACGTTCAGGAGAGCATGTTTAGTGCAACAGTTGTGATCATTTGTGTAGTTTGATATGTGTGACAGAAAAATATATATAATTAAAAAAAAACCACAGACTTAGACAGTTTGTTTAACATGTTTTTACTGGAGGATACATGCATAGTGATTTAAAACAACATGTAGTAACAGAGAAAAATTTCACCAGTGAAAATAGTGTTTGTTCTGGCTGCTGCTTATAGTGCTGTTATATTCTGGATAATATGCTCAATGTTCTGTGAAGAATTTTTTTTCCATATTTCAATAAATAAAGTTTCAGTTAAACTTACCACATTTGGCACGTGTTTGAAAAAGCTGTTTGTTACAGAGAAATATTTGTCTTAATAAATAAGGAGTTGTAAAGTAAAGGCTACACTGGTGTTCACACTGAACAAGAAGAACCATCTCAACATAGATGTTTACAGTGGAGCCTGGTTTTCTAGAGCTCAGCTAGAAAAGGCTTGGATACAGAGAAATGAATTTCCTAATGGCCGTTGCTTTTTGGTGAGTGTCGTCGTCGCTGAGTGAAAACATCGGTCAGGTTCAGGAGCTCCCCACCAGCGACACAGTTCAGTTTTATTCACACTCTCCATGTAGTGTGTGATCTCTTATGAATGATTAACTCTCTATAGTCAGTGTATAGTCCTGTTTAAAAACAAAATGAGAGAGAGAAGTTTGTATATAAATGTTTTGTCAGTAATTCACAATAATCTAGTTTTCATTCTTATTCAAGCTTTAGAGAATCATGCTCAACGCATGCTGCTCATGTCTCATGCTTCAGATGTGTCCATAATGTGTCCTTATAATAAACAAATGTTAGAAACTGTTTTGGTTTGTGTCCATTAGTCTTATACGAACACGAGCACCATTTTTCACTGGTGAAATTTTCACAGGAAGCAGAAAATAGGTCAAGTGCTTTTTCTATTTCAGCTAAAGCACCCTTGCTTTATTTATGGGATATTCTATATTATGGCAAAGAGGGAATGAAGCCCATCCTTCAATTTATTCAAGTACTTGTTTAATTAAGTGTAAATAAAAGAGCATTGCATTCACACACATGCAAGATTCAAGCCTGTACAAAAATAAAACAGAACTCTACCTTGTCTGGTTCTGTCGTGATGGGAGGAGACGGCAGTGACGCTTCATCCTGGTCATGAAAAAAGAGTATTGATAACATTAAAAATCTACATGACATTTTCAATTAGCACCAATGAGGCGAGCAAGATCCAGTACCTTCTCTACATCCTCCAGGAGATGAGATGGTGGGTCTAGGGTTGTCGAGGCGGCCTGGAGGAGAAGAAATAAAAGTGGAGGTTTACTCAGACATTAAAAAAATCTGAATTATATCCATCTCTTTCCTTTCTTTTGTGTGCTTGTTATGTTCAACTTCATATTAACTGCTTATCAGATCATCATGACTGACAGGCCACTGTGCAGCATAGAGTCATTTCACCTGCTCATCTGTTTCTGAGGGGGGCGTCAGAGGACGACTGGAGGTGTACGTCGATGTTTCTAACTGCACAGAACTGTGTGTGGGCCAATGCTCCTCCTCCATGATGCTCACCTCTTCATCAACCGGATGGGGGTATTTATATGTTTGGACTTCAAGCTGCATATGATGAAAACAACGTGTTTTACATTAAAGACAAACATTTAGACACAGTCCAGCTGAGAAAGATGTTTCAGACAAACTTACCTCTCTGTTGTCTCTGCTCTCCTGAAAGGTAGATGAGTCATGTGGAGAGAGTTCTTCCTGTTTCAAAAAGAAAAATAATTTCATTATAACTTTTTAAATGCTCACAGCCCAGCGGATGGTGTGAGTGAACTCTAACGGCAAACTAGTTCACCCCTAATGATTAATTCAGGTAGTGGGTGTGTTATTAATCAACTCTCTCCTGTGTTTTTATGTGGGCATGGATATTTTTCAGTCCCCTGAGATGCTGATGCTATGAAGGAGAAACGAAATGTGATTATGAGTTTGACAAGGCTGTTAACAGGAAGGCACCCACAACGCTCCAAATTTGTAACAAGCCCATGTCATCACACTTCTCTTAAATGGAAGTTTCCCACAGTGCAGGAATTAGTCATTCCATTCAGCAGCTGCCTACCTCATAGTCATCATCGTATTCTTCACCGTTATAAAACTCTTCCTCTTCTTCAACTTGCTCTCCACTTGTCTTTGGACAAAAAAACAGCAACAATTACAGATAATGTTGCAGATTTATTAGAGCAGTTACGCAGCAAATTCATTCCGAGTTTTAAATATTAAGAGAATAAGACAAATGCATGCTTTTTGTTTTTCTTGCCACAAAATAGTAGTTAATTCCATTTATTATATTTCAAAATGTTAATTGTTTTTAATGTGAAAGTGAAGTTTTCCGGGTTTAGTGTGACCCCTTCAAGGACATTTACCAGGCGGTGTCTCTGCCTCTTATGTCGTCCTTTATTTCCTTTGCCCTGGTTAAGAAGTTCACAGTCAGAGAGAGAAAGTAAAACATGATGATCTCCCATGCTTCAGAAGTTGTTGATGACCAATATGAGTTGAGACTTTAAGAAGATATTCAATGAGAAGGGAATGAGAAGTTGATGAAAATCAAAAATCAAACCTTAACACAAAGATGTTTAAAGTATGTTTAAAGTAAAAAGGACCACAACTGCAGTTTCACATTTTAAGCCCATTTATTAAAATTTTATATGATTTGGACCATTTTGGCAAATTTCGTAGATTAGATTTTCTCAGATTTGTTTTTGATATATTCTCTGGTTGCTGTATGCACATTAATTTAAAGCTTTTCACCATATAAATAAAATGAAACTGAAGTTAGAGACATGTTAAGGGGATAATACAGAGGACAGAGGATCTTCTAATCATGTCAAGCATGTCTGTAAATTCATTTTCATGCTGTAGTTAACACTCAGGGAGTTCGATTGAGCTCAAACATGAAATACTGGTGTTGTCCTTTAATAATATTCATGTAAGTTATCAAACATACATCAAGAACCATAATTACACTTGTTAAAATTAGTGTTTTATGCCTTATGTTATATCTAAGGTGACTCATGCTTGTTTTGATTGGTGAGGGGGAAACCAAGTTAATGACAAGGCGACCATAATAACTTTACCTTCCCACGTTCCCTGTTCTTCTTCTTTTGTCCTGAACTCTTCTTCAGAGAGTCGTCCTGAGTGAGGAGAACTGTCTCCACCACAGTTTCAGGTAACCCTGAAACCGTCTGACATCCACAGATTAATAAAGTTAGAAATAAACAGTTTAACATATTTTAGATCTCCTTCAAATCTCAACCTTCAACTTAATTTAATTTAAGAGGTAAACTATAAATTAGAGAAATTATTTGAAACCATGTTCAAAAAATTTTTTTTTTTCATTCTTTATTGTAAAAGATAAAGGATCCTCACCTCCTGAGCCGCAGTGTAATTATAAGTAGAATTTACTTTAGTTCGATTCATTTTTAGTGAAGACACTTCATCCACCATCTTGGTCCATCTGGATCCATTCAACTTGGTCTCAGTCCTGTCAAGCTCCTGCTTTACGTTCAGAGTTCAGAGCTTTGGATCAGTAACAGAGTCGATGCACAACGAACAGTGGGAGGAAATCAGTGTGTGATCCGGTAACTTACAACTGGCGATGAATCTGGAAACCGTCCGTCCAACTCTGGGTCTTCAGTGATGTCCAAGTCTGACAGGGTCTGGCTGGTGAGGTCAAATTTCACTGGACCCTGTAGAAGCGACAGAAGCACTTTTAAATCTCAAGAGTTTCTGAATGGCAGGAGCTAGTTTCTTCTTGTTTCACACGTGAACTTTTTTACGTACTGTGTACTCAGTGATGACGTTGGACGTGTGAGTGTCTGTGTTTTCTTTTGTGTTCTTGACGGTGCCGAGCACATGAAGCAGCTCCTCTATTCCTTCCTGCAGCAGCCGGTCAATCAAAGCCTTCAGCAAAGGCAGCTGAGAAAAAAAAAAGTTTTTATTCAGAAGGTAGAAACTCTGTCAACCTCAAAGTGTGTTCGGCATCGCGCTCAGAACTCACCCGTATGCCGTAAGCTTCAAACATGATTTCAATGTCCTACAGAAGAAGGCAAAGACTTAATAATGCAAAATGAGAACATGTATCCTAGGAGATGAATCAGTAAAACCTGTATTCACCTTCATCTCAATTGATTTCGCAGTAGCTGCAGCATCACCCTTTGAAAAAAATGAAAGCAAACTAATGTCATTTACATTTCAATATAGGGTTTTTTAAAGGGTTTCACAGATCAGCACTACCTTCTCTCCTTTCAGGCCTTGTTCTCCCTGATCACCCTGCAAAAGAAAAAAAGACAAATGAGCTACAAGTCTAATATATCAGTTATTGTACTCTGCCTTATATAAACCTAATAACCACCTCACCTTTATTCCTGGTGAACCCTAAACACACAGAAGAACAGGAGTAAGACGTTGGAACATGATATTGAGCTCATCACTGAATTATGTCTCAGTTGCAAATTAGGGGAAATATGAATTACACAATGCGGCGCCATTACTTCTGAGTGACAGATGTGTGGAAACATGTTGGGTAATATAAACTCACAATAGCACCTGGAGGACCCATCGGGATTGGAAAGGCTTGGCGGACTTCGTCGATGGTGGCGCCCTGTGAATGGATCCATGTAAAAAAAAAAAGATCAGTGAAGTTAAACTGTCGGCTCAAGGTGGACCTGTTTTCGATGGTTTTCTGGATTTGGAAAAAAAATGAAGGAAAACGAAATGACCCGTGGTAATAATTACCCTCCTGCAATGCTTAATCTCGTGTGACTCTAAGACAGAGAAATTAGAAACCTGCTTCCAAGTTGATTAAATAAAAAGGAAACGCTGGTGGTTATTTTTACCTCTGGAGTGACAAGCACTTGTCTACCAGGCAGACCTGGAGGTCCTGGCTCCCCTCTACTGCCGTCTTTACCCTGTGAAAGAACAAAAACACTCAAAGGTGCAGCCTCAACTTTCTCAAAGAGTTTTTTTTAATTAAAATCTGAAAACCACTTACGTCTGCACCTGTGTCTCCCTTAACCCCCTGGAATTGAGAGCAGAGTTAACGTGTGCATTCAAAAAAAATGTTTTAATGAATGTTTTAAAATAAATGTTTTGATTCTAAGGACCATTTTGCCATCATCTCCTTTTGGTCCTCGTTCTCCCTGTGAAGAGAAATAGATATTCGATTTTAAACACCAAAAAATAGCTGAACTGTTAATAATGTGCACATTAAGCACTTTATTAACAGTAATCCAGCTGGTATCAGAAGGAAATGTTCCTCACTTTGTTTCCTTGCAGGCCTCTCTTCCCATCAATGCCAGATCTCCCCTGTGGAGCAGAGGTAAAAAAAAAAATAAAAAAAATCGTATTTTGATTGATTGATCAAGTTGGAAAAATGGAAGGCTCATGCTAATCAAGCACGTAACAACACTGGGCTGTGTTTTGTTATGTTGGCTTGAACGTTACAAAAGGATGAGTCTTCATACTCACTGGAGTTCCAGGTAAACCAGGCATTCCTGCAATCCCTATTCGGCCCTGGTCTCCTTTTTCTCCTTTCTGCTTTCACACATGCACAAACACATCTGTAAACTCTTCTATGTAGTAAATAGGTTCCAGTGCAAACTAAAAAAAATGTAAATTGACATTAATACTTTTTCCAGTTGTGCAAACTACCTTTATCGTTCAAGGTGAATAGTGGGGGGGTTTATATAATAAAAATAAAGTAAGTAAACATAAGTTGTTTACGAGGCACAAACAGTATAATTGAAGATTGTCATAAAAAGAACACTGGTGCACTCACCTGACTCGGCTCGCCCTTCTGTCCCTGGTCCCCCTGCAGTAAAAATGAAACAGCTTGTGAATAAGATCTTTTATTCAAACACAGAGTCATTCACACCGGCTGATTTTAATGTGGCACGTAAATAGTTTTTATAACCTTCGCTCCTGGTTTTCCTGGTAAACCATCAAGTCCATTTCTTCCAGAGCCACCAGAGCTCTGCAAAGAACAACAGTTTCAACAAAACTTTGAACAAATGAATCTAAATAGATGGAATTTACAAGTAAAATATAAATGTTTAACAATTGTAAGTTACACTGATACAAAAATCACAATAACAACCGTATATTATAGAAGATACACATACCAGAGATGACCCTGGTAATCCTGGTTTACCTTCTGGACCCTGTGGAGAAAGACAAATATTGAGATAATGGGACACTTCAAAATTCAAGAGATTTATACAGAAAAAGACCAAAAAAAAAACTAAATATAACCACACTGAATGATGGTTTCCTTATTATTGAGGATCTTCTTTATACGTTTAATTGTTTGGTCTGTGTCATCTGTGTCATCTGACCAATAGTTACTTCTATCAATCTATAGTCCATTGTCTTTGTTTGCAGATCAATCCTCAGACACTCACTTGTGGTCCAGGAAGACCTGTGTCTCCTCTCAAGCCAGACTGACCCGGCTCCCCTGGTTCACCCTGCAGGTGAGAGGAGAGGAAATTTGACTTCTCTATTAAAGAATTTGAATAAAATGACGCATATTACGTATTGTTTGTCAACGCACCTTAATCACTCTTGTCATTATATTGTTTTCTGCGACAATCTGCAGGGAGGGAAAAAAAAATTAAAACTTAACTTGCTAATTAAAAAACACACAATTTCCGCTGATTGAGAACAGACACTAATTATCTAATGTCATATGGGAGTGCTGTGTTTAGCTTTTTTCTTCATGAGCTTTGTTACAAACAAGGCCTCTTTCAAACATGGCTGAACTGGTGAGAAGCTGTCAGAAATAATAATAAAGATTTGTTTACTTGTGCTCCCGGAGGTCCAGGTTTTCCCTTTGAGACGCCGATAACACGATCAAAAAGAAAGAAGGGCACAAAAAATAAAAAAAAGTTAAAAATGTCACACTGCTGAACACAATCTACATTTACAACACAAAAGAAAACGAGTGCGGGCACTGAGGGCTTGGCACACAACAAAAGCCAAAGTTAATTAGTGAATGGGGTTGTTTAAATCACAGGAGGATAACAGGTTGTGACGCTGTGACACGGTGAGTGACACAGAACAATGATCAGAAGGCAGTCAACCATTGGAAACAATAAACATGCTCATCAACATGAGAGATGGTGAATACAAACATACTGCCTCGCCTTTGTCGCCTCTCTTTCCATCAGAACCCTTCAAAGAGATGAAGGAAGAAAATCACAGTTATAGGACATTCATTTTACAAAACATGATTCCCTGCACAAATATGTAACACGAAAGTTGTGTTACCAGAGAAGTGATGCTAAGCACTGAGAAGAAACTTAAACACATCGTTCAAATCTATTTCAGGATGTAGGATTATTCTAATGAGCAAATTCAATGAACTTACTGGCAGCCCAGGATTCCCACTATCTCCCTTATCTCCTGGGTCCCCTGGTCGTCCTGGTAACCCCAGTGGACCCTGATCAACCACAAGAAGCCAAATCTTTGCATTAGTGTTTAACAGAGTTAAAAGCTGCAGTGAGCAAATGTGTGTATAACATGAGTGTAGATCAGCTACAGTCCAGACAGGGAGCGGAGCCTGTAGATTCAGGTTCAACTCACTGAGAATGAGACTAACAGCATTATATACTGAAATAGTTCTCATATTGACGTAGACAGGACAAAATACAGTGACTCGCATGAAAACAAAACTCATATGACTCATATGACAGTGATCAATAGTTTAATGTCTTTCCAACGTTTATATGTAATATTTTATCATCATTAAATTATTAAATTAAAATATAATTTAATGATTTCAGGGTATTTTCTAAACTCTCTTGATGAGGCTTTAATGTTTGCCATGGAAGGTGACTATAGGCAGTAAATAAGAAAACAACTTTATACCCTGATTCCTCTGTCACCAGGCTCTCCAGATGGACCTTGTTCACCCTGTGAAGAACAACATGAATTTATCATTAAAAGTTGAAGTAGTACATAATACTGGACATGGCTGTTACAATAACACATAACTGTTTACTCTGCTTACCCCATAAGCAACAAATTAAAATGTTCACTGATTGATAAATAAAAGAAAAACATTGAGTGAATATATTGACTGTGCCTTAATTCCTTGGTCTCCTTTGGTTCCGGGTTCACCCTACAGACAAAGCCAACAGTAATAGTCATCAACATTACGAATAAGTATCGATGGAAACATATAAAGTGCATATCTGAAACACTGATGTTAATATTCACAGGCATCCGGACATATTATCAGTATCAGTATGGCCTTTCCTCTGATATTTCAAACAAGCCCTCATCAGTAAATCTGAATATGTTACATACAGGAAACATCTGTATGACAACAGGAGTTACTTACATCTTTACCTCTTAATCCCGGTTCTCCAGGATTGCCAGGGAACCCAATATTCCCTTTGTCACCTTTAAAGCCGTCGTATCCCTGGACAAACGATTGGTGTTGTAACATTAACAAACTTTAATGATCACACCAAACGTTTAAGTGGACTTACATGAAAATACACCAGTACATCCTCTATGTAACTGAAGCTTTAAAAATATATTTCTTTGGTAGTGGCATCAATTCCCTGTTTAGCAAAGTTTGGGTGATAATTGAAGAGTAAAATAATCAGATGTAATTTACCTTTGGTCCTGGTTTTCCGGACAAACCAACATTTCCCTTTAAAAGATAAAACATCAATATAATAGGTACAGACGGCTGTTCACTGCTTCATTAAAAAAGCAACCAAAATGTTAAATAAGTGATTTCACTTTTCAGGTGACTCACCCTCTCGCCGTTCTCTCCTTTTGGTCCCTGCTGTCCTGGAATCCCAAAACCAGGACTGCCCTGTACACATCAAAACAAACCATAGCCAAACTGGATGTTTATATTTCTTCTATATTTGATGGATATTTGCTTCAGTGAATGAGAAATTTCTAAATACGAGTGTCACTATTAACCTTATCTCCTTTGTCTCCTTGTTCGCCTTTAATTCCCTGGGGGCCTGTGGGGCCGACTGGGCCGATGTCTCCCTGACAGACAGAACATATTCTCACACACTCAGAGAAAACCAATCAATGATTCTGGCCACTGGGCAAAATTAGCGCAACGGTTTCAAAACAAAACTCTCTTCACTTTAAATGGTGCCCTGTGAACTGGGATTAAAGAGGTGGCATCCAGTGAAAGCTAATGAGAGAAAATCTTAATTGTGTTTGAAAAGCGGACCCAGAGGACTGAGTCTGAATATGCAAGAATACCCTGAACAATTAATTAACAATGTTTCCGTAGAATCAAACACGAGGAGAATCACTTCCCTCGGGTTGAGGGACTTAGTTGGAGCCAGTTAAAATAAATACAGGCCAAACAGCTTGGACAAAATTTAACAAGATGACGCAGCAGCCTGATTGGGTTCGATTAAACCTTTCTGAGAAAAACCTCCAATCTGTAGTGGAAGAACAGGAAATGGCTGCACACTTTTGCAAGTTTTAATTGGACAAATACTTCGTGGAAGCACAGCTCATACGGATACATCCAACTCCGTGGGATATAAAATAAAAGAAATAGCCAAAGCCAAGTGGAAGATGTGTGACGATAAATATACAGAAACATATAGTTTAAAGCATAAAAATTCACTGCACACTGTAAAGAGCTGTTTATATTTATGAATTGTAGTTTTGAATTTGTAGAGTATCGGGTCAGTACAAAAAAATGACTTACCCTGGCTCCTTTTTTTCCAGTTGGTCCAAGTATCTATTGTGATTGGGGAAAAAAAGATTTAATGCCGAGTGTCACATGCTCCTATTTATATAGTTAAAATTAGAGACATTTGTCTTACACCCTTGGCAGGGTCTCCTGGGGCTCCTCTAGGACCCTCGTCTCCCTTAAACCCTATGGGTCCAGTGAATCCCTGGAAAAAATAAAATAAATAAATAAAGGTAAATGTAAAATATCTTTATGATCGGAATTATACATTATGGCCTCTTTTACAGCCTGTGAGCTATAATTATTTCTAAAATACCCTATAACATTAGCCATCACTCCATCAAGCTGTCTTCAAAGCTGAACTTTCTGTATTTTTTTGTTAGAAATAATGAAAACTGTATTACAAAAGGCAGGATGCACTTTTTCTGATAATCTCCTCCAAGGGACCTGCTGTCTGAAATTAAAAATCAGTGGAGCAGGAAAAAAATGGCCCATTTACAAAAGATCTACCCACTGAGGTCTGAAAAATTTCGATCACGATCGTATAATCACAACCCTCTCTGATAGGACCTAATCTTGAGAACTCAAACAAAATGGCTCGCTCTTTTGTTCATTTAGTAATCTAAGCGTCTGTTTGGAGACATTAGGAAACAGTTATTAAATAGTGTATTGAGATGGTCCCAGATAAATGTACTGCACCTGCGTCAGGCTGTCTTAGCAATCACAGTAGAAAGTGGATTTCAATATGCTCAGGTGAGTTAGTGAGAGAAATTACGATTATATTGGTTAAATAAGAGATTCTGATGAATTCCAATGTGCAGGTAGTATGTATATATAGACATCTATTTTAAATTTTAGGAAATATTGTATCTCACTGTGGGTCCTTGTGGTCCGATTGGTCCCATCTCTCCTTGTTCTCCCTAAAAAGAAAAACAAATATATATATAAATATGTGTGTGTGTTTGTTATTCAAATATCTATTGGCCGATTAATATAGAGTCGTTCACGTATCATCATATAAATATTAATGAGGCAAATATTCTCAGTCTGAAGGACGAGCGGATATGTTGAATGAGCTCACCTTGTCTCCTTGCTCCCCTTTGAATCCCTTCTTTCCCTGCAGGTATAAAATAAATCACTGGCTCTTAATCCTTTCATCACAATATTAACCCCCTAGTTAAATAGGTGCAATTTCATCTCATTAGCCGAAGCAGGAATGGATTAATATGCATTTCAGGATATAACATGCAGAAAATTCGTAGCAAGCTATTGAGCTGGAGATAATAGTAAAGTGCACACCCGAGGTCCGATAATTCCCTGGATGCCCTGTTCTCCAAGGTCGCCCTAAAAAGACGAATTGCATAACATCATTATTCTGCTAAAATACTTTTATATAATCCGAAGCATGAACTTTATGTTGGAATTCATTTTTCGTACCTTTAGGCCGACTGGTCCCGTGAAGCCAATATTTCCCTGTAAAACAAAACAGTTCACACGGTGAAACAAAAATGGGAATTTGACATTAAAGCCCCCATTACAATTATTTTCTGTTTCACAAATCTAATTTAAAAAAAATTTAAAATTTAATACAACTAGCTTTTAGTGCTGGTGAAGTTCAGAGGTCGGGAAGCTACAAGTATAATCAACCTGAGCCTCCCTTTAAAATTTAAACCCACCATTTCCACAAAGTAAAATAATAATGACTCTGCTGCTCTGTATTTAAGGTGCTGTACCTTCTCTCCCTGCTCTCCACGAGGACCCTGGATACCTTGTATACCAATTCCTTCTTCACCCTGCAAACAAATACATGTATTAGGTCAGATATTCAGCCAGGTGGTGTTCTGTGTTTATTTTCAGTCCAAAGGTCAAATGCAAAAAATACCTTCTCTCCTCTCTGACCTGGTAATCCTGGTATCCCATCTATCCCGATGGGACCAGGCAAACCCGCAGCACCCTACAGTCGTTTCATGTGAGTCATGGTTTGTATAAGGGAAACAAAGAAGAGAGATGTGAATGAATAATCTTTTATTTTTGTATCTTTATGCCTGTGCTTTGTCACGAGTGACAATTTGATCGACTCTGCACTTACATCTTTTCCTGGATCTCCTTTGTCTCCTTTCCCACCTGGTTTCCCTCGTAAACCCTTTCAGAAATAACGAAAGCATTTTTGAAAATAAAATGAGAGTGGAAATTATTATCTGATTCTGAGGCTTTTAAGAAAATAGGTTAATTTGTAAGATGGATTTATTTATTAAAATAAGGCTTGCATACTTACTTTTGCTCCTGGCTCTCCAGGATCTCCCTAAACAGTAACAACAGTATGACGCACATTATTATTCTGTTACTCTAATAACATAAAAATGTATTACATGTTGGTGGTGATTGGTGAACAGTCATATGCTATTTGCATTGTGACATGATGCTGCTCTTATGCTAAGAGTGAAAGTCACCTTGACAGAAATTCCAGGTGACCCTGGAGATCCTGGCTGACCTGGCAAACCTGTGGCTCCATTGACCCCTGATACACCAGGAGGCCCCTGAGGTCCCTGTAACGTGCAGTGAATAATGTTAATCTGTCCAAAAATTCTCACTTGGAAATCTCCCAGTGTGTTAAACACTCACTGAAGATCCTGGCTCTCCTTTTCGTCCAGGGACGTAATTTGCATCCGTGCCAGCTATAACATATCCAGGCTCTCCCTGTGTCAAACCATAAAGAAACGTCTTTACTCACAGAAGTGTAAATCAATCTGTTCTTTACAACTGTGCCTTCAACAGGAAATCTTTCAACAGGAACATCAGTCATTAGACCTACTCTCTCTCCTCTTTGTCCCTTTGAACCAGCGGGTCCAGGACGACCCTGCCATGGAAAGAAATGTGACAAGTCATCAAATTAAACAAATGCAAATAAAAGAGAGAATATTTCAGGATTAGGGGACATCTTAACATTTCTGTTGTCCAAATAAAGTACAACAATATGATCAACTAAGCCAAAGTAAATGTATTTGTCATCTTGATCTCACCATGTCACCTGGGATGCCAGGAGAGCCCTGAAAAACAACAAAAAAACCCTGTCATTTACAGAATCTAATAAACATGAAATAATAAAGTTTTTCTCTTTCTGGATTCAGTTACCCGCAGGCCGGCAGAACCTGGGGGTCCAGTTCTCCCTGGTCGCCCAGGCAACCCAGGAACACCATCTGTTCCTGCTGGTCCCTGTCAAATCAAAACATGATGTTCAGAGCTGGATAATAAAATAATATGGATAAACAGTAAAGCCACACTGACCCACACAACCTCTGCAGGGTTCAGATTGAACTCAGTAATAATTGGATATAATGAACCAATGAATTAAAGAATGAATGAAGACATTCTAGGTTAACAATTTCTGTAACTGATTTGAGGGATGAATAACAGTAATCAGACTGTAGCTCACTTCTTATTTCACACATCTGTTCTCTTAATGACATCCAGTGAAAAACTGTAAATCTGTCCTACATGAATTCAAGATTTGTGTTTCAGCATCATGATGCTACTGCTGTCGTCCTACTTTTACCTATAAAATATAAATGTGAGCTGTTTTGTCTTTAACTCTAAAATAATTTCATATTGGATGTTTTGTGTGTGTGTGTGTGTGTGTGTGTGTGTGTGTGTGTNCAATAACTTTCTTTCTGAAGGTCATAGAGACTTGGAAGTTGGTTCCATCTCCACTAATGTGGGTATGCCCGATCCATTGGTACCACCCCCGAGCTCCTACGACCTTTGGAAGGGTTAGGGTTAAGGTTGTGATCAGTGTTTGTGTGTGTGTGTGTGTGTGTGTGTGTGTGTGTGTGTGTGTGTGTGTGTGTGTGTGAGTGTGTTCTTACCTTCTCTCCCGTCTCTCCTTTGGAAGAAGTGAAAGGATCGTACTGTCCAGGGCTTTGCCTGAATTTCTGCACATAGAAAAAATTGGTTATTAAAAGTTAAATAAATAATACAGTGATTTAGATTAATTTAACAATGTCTGACAGAGAGAGGCCAGCGCCTAAAGGTTCCTCTCACAAATGATTATAGTATATTAAGACTTAATTAGAGTTGTAATGCAGAAAAGAAAACCTACCAAACCTCCGAGACCAAAACCGTTCCCCTAAAAGACGGAGTAAGGTTGCACAAAATTACTATTTCTGTTTTAAGATTAATTAATAAATATATTTCATCTTTAACATGTTCGATTAACTCACCTTTTCACCTTTCTGGCCCTGGAAAAAAAGAAAAAAGATTAATATGATTAACAGCCAATTATCAATGAGGAGAAGAAGTCATTCATCGAACCTGATTAACTTCAGCACACATCGGTGGAGTTTAAACCAGGATGCAGATAAATTAAAGACTCACTGTGCTGCTTGGAAAAAAAACTAAAAGCAATAACAATATACATGTCTGGGATTTTATTTATGAAGAACCAACCTTCACACACTGGGAGAGGCAGGGACCCTGAGGTTTGACCATCTCCTCTGGGTCTTCAGTCGGTGTGTCCAACTGAGCAGACTGAAAATAGAAATGAGGGGAAGGGATTACAATACATGAACCGGCCAAGTGACACATTATAGACCATAGTGGCAGAGAGTGGGGTCTAATGGAGCTGCCTTGATGTCAGCTGCAGTCACACCATCCACTGCTCCGACGTCAAAACTCCCACATGTGTTTCCTCCCGCTGAGTCTTTGTGTGGGAATTAAAACATTGATTGCTTTTACATGTATGTGATAACATGATGACTATGCATGGCGACGCATCTGCAGAGGGGGTGTGGACGACCTCAACCGTACATCTGTGACTGTACGGGCATTTGTTAACAAGTACAACGTGTTTAATCACCTAGAACAAACTGGGATTGTTTCAAAATGCATAAAAGTAAAAGTTGTTGTTTGAAATATCTTCTTATTGAGTCAGACTGAACAAAAACAAGTTTTTTTTTTGGTTACCTCATCATGCAGTTTGAACTCGGACAGGAGTTCCTCACTACAGATGGTTTTGATAAATTCTCTCTCGATGGAAGGAAACTCGTCAAAGGTCGGCGAGAAGAAAATATTCTTGTAGCTGGTGGGAGCTGCGATTTTGTTCAGCTCATCCATGTCTGCGTTAGAAACTCCCACCGCCAAGACACTGACGCCTACAGAGAGAGACGGATTCAAGACATGATCATTTAGACAGGACATTGATGAATCCATACTCAGACACATTTTAGAGGCTCAACGATAACGCTGACTGACCGAGAGCACGGGCAAATCTGGAGGGAGGCAGCACATCATCCTGGGCTCTGCCGTCTGTGATCAGGACCAGAACATGAGCCACATCCTGCCTCATCCCAAGAGGCTCCTGGAACAGTTCCTGCAGGACGTAGCTGATGCCTTTTCCTGGGGACAAGCAAAGGAAGAGCTGAAATGATGATTTTGATTAATCAAATATTCTATCTACTATTTAGATCATTTAATTTTTGTTTAAAATGAACATGATCTGTGTGCAGTTTATCTAAAGTTCAGATTTGCTTCTTTTTCTCTATCTTGATTCTATTAAATGAAAATATTTGGAGTGTCGAAGTTTTTGTCGTACAAAACAAGACATTGGAAAACATCAATCTGGATTCAGGAAATTATTCAACAGGCATTTTAAAACAAAACAAGTGTTTGATTTATCAAAACTAGATTCTTATAATTACATTTTTAGACAAGTTTTATTCTGCTGGACTAAATTCACATGTTTAAACAGCAGTATTACTGTTTGTGAACTTGTCAAGTCTTGTCACTCTGGGCTCCCAAATTAAAAATCTTTTCTTCTGAAGTTTATCATGTTTATTGATGTTATTCAGACATTTCTATGATCACAAGATGGTACTTTTATTTGTGCCGTTTCTTAACTCTAGTTCTTAACCACAAGTTAAGCTTCAACAGTTCAAAAATAATGATTTCGATCCACCAGTAAGACAATTATTAGAAGCAGTGACGTTGACTGTCTACGCTCCGATGTCGGGCGCACACGTGCGAGTGTGAACGTCACTAACCTGTTTTGGTGTTGCCTCCTCCATAACGCAGTTCCCTGAGCGCCCTGAGCACAGAGTTTCTATCTTTGAAGGCATTCAGACGGAATTCGATTCGAGGCTCATCGCTGTAATGAACCACAGCAATCTGAGAGGAAAGAGGGAGAGAAATACACATCATCATCACAGCAGTGATTTAAAGGGGAAAGGTAGGACAGTATAAGCTGTGGGTCATTTTTATTTCAAATCATACTTGACATGATTTTGCTTCTTTACCAGCTACTCATTACAGAGCTGTGGATTAGAACCTCCTTCCCAGTTTTTTCCAATTGAGATCAGACTTCCTAATTGCTGGACAACCTATGGTCGCTTTGCTTTTTTTCAGGTTAAGAACTCAATACCTTCCTTTTTTTGGACTGTGCTCAGGATCATCCACTGAGATATCATCCACTTTACCAGAAACCAACACCTAACAATCATGTTGCTCTTTTTGCTCTTGTAGTCCAGCTATAACCTGAAACCTAACAATAGCCTCATCACAAGACGTGTGGCATCGGGCCTTGTTTGTCCTCTCCGCCGGAGTTTAAATGAGACGTTGCACATCATGTTCCTGCTGACGGAACTGGTCCGCACAGTCGACTCACTGGTACAGTTTGCCACATTTGCAGGCAGCTATTATCAAGTAAAATCACTGTTATCTGTTCCCGTTTGTAATTTGTCCTGCCACTCACAAAAAAGACGAGGGCCAAAGATAGCAAAGTATGAACCCAAAGTATAAGAGAATACAAAGCAAAAGGTTTAGCTGACACTGACCTGTGTTCCCTCAGGACCAACGACGGGGAAGTAAGTGGCCACGCGGAATATGAAATCTTTCATCTTGATGAAGTTATTAGCACCAATGCTGGAGGACTCGTCCACTAAGAATACTATGTCTGCTTTGGTCTTACCACATGCTGACAGAGCACAAAACACAGGAGAAATTAAATATCGCACATATTGTACTTGGTTATTACATACTGGTCATGTGTTTAAATACCTGGTCGTGGTGGAGATGTTGTCTCCAAATTGATTGTGGTTAATCGAACAGGGTCTCCTGTCACTGCTTTGGCCTCAGTGACTCTTGGCTGAGCTGGAGGCTTTGTAGTGGTGATTTTTTTAGTTGGTGTCACAGCGATGGGTTGCCGGGTTGTCCTGTTGGCAGTCTGAGTGATGGTGGTTTTCCTGACGGTGGCGGTCTTTGAGGAAGGCGTGATGCGAGGGAGATGTGGAGCTGCCGTGGTGGCCACTGACTGGGCTGTGACCACTGAAGGATCCCGTCCCACTGAGATGCACAAAGCCGTTAAAACAAAAGATAGAACGTTTTTTGTACAAGCTTTTAATTGCTATATTAGTGTTTAAAGACTTTCCTAAATTCTTGCGAACAATAGTCTGAAGCTGTTAATTTAGGAATATTAAGTTACAACATGAGCATAACATTTGAAACATCAAGGTTGATTTTCAAAGATTGATTCCATGTGGATTTATTCAGAGTAGAGCACAGAAGACAATACAACCAATGTCTAGACTGTAACATGGTCAATATGAGGATGTACGAGGGATATCATAAATATTAGGTGTATATATATCCTGTAGAATCAGAAAGAATGTTGCTGACTTACATATTCTTTGATACACAGTGCTTATAGGCCCCTCCACTTCTCCGTACAAAGGTCTGATGGTGAAAATGTATGTTCTGCCATAGAGGAGGTCGTTGATCTTAAAGGAGGCGAAACCAGGGCCCAGTGTTTCTGTTTTAGTCTCCAGCACTGGAAAGACACAGGTTGCATAGAAAACATTTCAATTGAATAAGATCCCATGATGTTAAATCATTGGTCAATGGGAATAGAAAAATTATGATAAGACATTTATCACGAAATGAAGTGGATTAGGGAGTTCTGTATATTTGTAACTCGGCCATTTGGCAATTAAGGAAATGTGAGCCTGTAAAAACTCTGCAATTATGACAAGATGTGAATATTAGTTTTGTGCATGTTTTTCTTTATCTCTCCCTTTTCACCACAAGTGTGATTAGGCTCAGACTCAATACACATTCCAATAACATGTGTCATGCTGCTTCCACTTCAGACCCTGGGGGACCTGTTACACTCATACTGTGCTCGGGGTTCATCCAAATTCATATTGGTTTTTAAACTGATCGCACTTTAAACAAAATAGCGTTGATGACAGGGCTCAATACTCAACGCAATAACATTCCCACAATATGAGAATAACAATTATTTTGTGAAACCATCTGACTGAAATTTGCACGACTGTTAATTTAATGCTATATTACAGGGGTGAAACTCTGTTGTGGTTTATCGCTGACCTGAGATGTGCCTCCAGGAGAGAAGGTAACCCGAGACGCCGGCCACTCGAGTCCAGTTCAGAACGGTGCTGCGGTCTGTCGTGTTCAGAGCAGCAAAGCCGTTGACTTTGGGAAGATCCACTGAAACACATAAAAACACATTTATAATTAATAAAACTACACAAGTGAATGGCCACATTTGACTTACATTACTTTTCCTAAAAATACTATACTATTGTTAATTATAAGTATTTAGACCAATATTAAACATTTCTCCCTTGATAACCATATCTAATTTCTCAACTCTGAATATCAGTTTACAGTATCTCTGATACTCATAAGGAAACTGTTAGCCGATACCCAACCCTCTTAACAAGGTCTGTATCAGCCCTGATATCAATCATCAGCTTCTCGACAAACATGAGGGACCTGATGGAACCTGAGGGAGAAAAGGTCATAAAATAATTGGAAAAATATTTTAAATTCTTGCTTTCTGTCCCTCCCATGAGTTGAAGAACTTCTGTATCCATCTGCTCAAGGTAACTTTAGCAGAGTTCAACTGTGGAGCTACATTTGTAAGTATTTGGAGCAGGCAGGACTCACGGGTCCTCGCTGTGACCAGAACCGAGCTTCCCTCCCTGTTGGCCACCATGGACGACACCTGGATCTTATAGGCCGAGCTCTCCCGGAGGTTGCGGATGGTGAAGTTGGTGGAGGCGGCAGACACCAGCTGGAACTTCTCATCACCCCCTAGAGCAGGAAATAATATCATCCAGCACAGAGAGATAATGGGTGTGAAACAACAGTATTGTTTACTCATTTATGGTTGAGCCTCACACAATGAGAGAGAGAGATTTTCCCATTAGGTTTATTTGAAAAATGCTGCAAATATCTAAGAAACCTTAATGTTTTTAGAGCATGAATTAAAAAATATATATTATAGATGAATAGATTAAACATTCAATACATATTTTAATGGTCACAAATTTCTATTTATAAGGTTTTACCATCGAACTCAATCAGCAAGAACCAAGTGTGGGACGTGGACATTTTGCAGCAAACTGTTCTTTAGCCTCTTACCCAGGAAGGGGATCCAGGAGATTTTGTACCCAGAAGCCCCTGGTGTTTTGCTCCAGGACAGGGTGAAGAAGTTGACTCCAATGTCCACGACCTTTAGTCTCCTCACTGCCTGGATCGGCTCCGAGTCCGAGACAGCAGCTGAAAAAAACACCAAATATATATAACATATCAGCATCCTGGTCTAATTTTATTGATGGTATTGTCAGTTTAAATCATGATAAAAAAAGATGTATCCAAGATGTCTGAGCTGGATAAGCTGGTGTGGCTTTACCCACACACCCTACCATTTCTCAGTGAAATAAACTTGGCACACACATTAACTTTGACAGTGATAGAACGATAGCAGCCCTGCTGACTTACACTCAGTGACACAGACTACAAGTGACAGCAGCAGGAACTGTGTTTAAAATGGGAAAACCAAAATACATGACGTGTCAGTCAGACGAAAAAAACACATGGGTGCCATGGCACGGGATGGAGAGCTTCCCCGTCCCTGCCCATTTAATTACAATGGGGTGCACAGCTGCACAAAACCCTTTACATCCTCAGATGAATCATTAATAAATAAAGATAAACTGTGAGAGCTCACTTCTCTTCTGTACCTGTGAGCTGAGACAAGGAGAGTTCTGGTCCCTCTGAGTTGCCGTACACTGCACAGATGGTGATTGTGTGGGTGGACTGCGGGTTCAGGTCTTGGATGCGGTGAAAGAGAACACTGCGGTCCAGGTAATGGGACTGCAGGCTGCTGTCATCTGCAGGGGCACAGTCACATACATAAACATGACTGGGATTTCATCATGAAGAGAAGTTAGATGTATGGAGCTGTTGAAACTTACAGGCTCTGGACAAGGCTGGAGTAGAAGGAACAAGGTTAAATACATTACCTGTGTTCCAAGTGAGTTTGTACTCAGTGGCCCCTACGATGGGACTCCACTCCACATCTATGGACGTGCTGGTGTAGGACGTCACCTTGAAGTTGGACACGTAGCCCAGAGGAGCTGAGAAGATGAAGAATCATCAAGAGCCCATTGACGTTTTTGTAAATATGTTGTTCACAACACAATTTGCTCTACGTCAATGAAAACTAAGCTACATGTGTGCAAATGAATTTCCTGGGACTATTCATACAGATTCAGAGTCTTGTGCCAGAGAAGTGAGGGAAGAAGTAGGTAAAGTTAAAATAACAGTGACTGGGGCTCAATGACACGTACCACAAGTGACAATGGGCACATGACTTGTCAATGAAACAGAAACAATCCAGTGACGTGAGGCTGCAAGTCCATTCAAAGCTGTAACGATACTAGTACTCACAGGTTCTGAAGGTAGCACTGATACCGGGTCCCACCAAAGATCCAAACAACACATAGAGAGTCAGGACATACTCGGTATCATGGGCTACGTTCTTCAGATGGTAGTCCGTGGTGCTGCCATTCAAAGCCAACTGCCTGGGACGGTCCCGACCGGTAAACTCTGTAAACACAGATAATAAAGTTCCTGTTACTTTAAATTGATTATTACTCCACTTAACTCTGGCTCAGCATCAGTGCCTCCTTCTCTGCAAACAACATCCTCCTCCGTTGCTCCCAACATTTGAATTCCATCAAAGGGAGGCCCCATCCCATCTGTCACATCCTCCTGGCAGACTGGTGCAGGTGTAGTTGGTCGAAGGTAAAAGCAGAGTCATTTCAAAAGCTCTTGGCAGACTGAGTCTGTCACTGGGAGGAAATAAGAGCAGGAATACGTCCTTTACTCTTCTTCTCATTGACTGTTATATATCTTCCCACTTGGCCAAATTATGCAAAATAACAAAACTGTCGCAATTATCCAGACGACACCTAAATGCACCCGGCAGTGTCGCCCCACAGATTCACTCTGCAAGGTAATTAAAACATAACTGTCTGTGGTGGAGAATAGGGACGGATTTACGAAACCATTATCTATCAGTGGCTTAATACAGCTCATACAAAACATAACTCTCTGATTGTCTTTTACCAGACGAACCCGTTCAACCACCCAGATAATTAGGTATGAGTCTGCTGTTCTCAGACAAACTAAACATGGAGAAGCAGAGTTAAATTATTGTGCATCATAGAGCTAAAAAAACTGCTTCATCTTTGACTGAGTCTTAAGTATTCATCATGAGCCGTCTTGCCCTCCTTTCACTTATGCATCTGTTTTAAAATCTTAAATCTACCTAAGATTGATTTGCATTTTAATGTATTCCTGTTGTTCTTTTCATGCTGTTCTGTTCACTTGCTTCCTTTCTATTCTAATGTTAATACATTATGTAAATCACTTTCAATTGCCCTTGTGCATGAAACTCACTCTACAAATAAACGTCTTGACTCTCCAGAAAGGAATTATGGGTCTGCATGCTGTATCATAAAAATGCATAGAAAGGTACTGCAAACACTGATCAACATGAATAATGTATCTCACGGACTGAACCTTATCACCATGTGAGGATTGGAGTGGGATGTGAAAAAGAAGCAGGTCTAAAACATGGGATTTACCTGGGGTGGGTCCCCAGGCGAGTCTGTATCCTGTGGCCCCTGGGACGCTGTTCCACGAGACGACGGCAGAGCTGGTGGTCACAGCCGACACCTTCAGAGTCTGAACTGCACTGCTCTCCACTGACACAGAGACAAATCACAAAGGTGATTCTTTTCTCCAATGTTTTTCATGCATGCATTTGTGTACTTTATTGTAAACACTCTAGTTACATGTCTTGGCTTTGGTGGCAGTGACAGGGCCTTCAATGTCTCCAAAGATGGGGTTGATGGTGACGGTGTAGTCAGAGCCTCGGTGGAGGCCCTGGATCATGTAGAAGTTAAAATTGTCCCCAAGGTTTATGTTCTCTATGTGATCTTCTAAAAGACAAAAATAAATGTGTGAATGTCATGAATTAGCAGCAGATTCATTGACATGGTTTACTGTGAGGTTACAAACAAAGATTTAGCTCTAATTTATAAAAACATTAGCGTAAACACAGAACCTGGAGAAGCCCACGTTAGGCGATATCCTGTGGCGCCCCTGACTGAAGTCCACCTCGCCTGGACGGTGTCTGTGGTGGCGTTTTGGACAAGGAACTGCTGAACTGGTACCAGCTTCACTGTTAAACACATCCCATCAAACACACAAATTTACTTAAGCTTTGACACAAAACCTTAATGGTGACAGAAAGTGAGGTTATCTAACCTGATTAATGATTTCTATATATAATATTATGTATAAAGTATTGTAATATATCAAAAAACAGGCAATAGATACATCTGTCTATGTAACAGACCTAATGCTTACTGGTATTTATACGTACTGTACAACAACACCCCTCTGTGGATATATTATAGTACTACACTTTGGCTTTCTCATACTATATTGTGTTGAGAACTAATACATAACTTTTTCTGGTTGTGGATCAGTTAGAATGTTCAAAGTAATGAATGTTTAAAAGTGTTAGAGTTGCTAAATAAATAGACTTGGGTGTGTTCTTTGTTTATGTAAATGAACATTATGATGGTATTTTGACTCAAGTCAATAAACTTACACGTCCTTCCCACTATTGAAACTGGCTCGCTTTGTCCCTGGGGGAAAATAGCATAAATATTGATAGTGTACTTCTTGTCCTCCTCCAGGCTGTCAATCACATGAGAGGAGGTGTCGCCAGGAAGCAGCTGCTCGTAAATAAATCCTGGTCGGTTGGCTGCAAAACAACCAGAAATAAGAGCAAATCAATAACTAGGAAATATACCTTTCAAAGGGGTTGTTTCTGTGGTGCTGGCTGCCTTATGTTAGGTTAAGTAGGTGAAAAGCAGCAGAACTGATGAGTTTTTCCATTCAACAAATACATCCGAGTTAAACAAGACTAAATTAAGTCAAATGTCACATTTCAATTTCTAACAATTTTCAATGAAGGGGTATCCATCAACATTATAAATACTCTAATATAGTTCATATTTATATAAATCTCTACAGTAATTTGGGTCAGATAATAATAGTTGCATGGTGTGATGTCAACATACATCTTGGGATGAAGATCTTGAATCCGTTGAGCTTCCCTAAAGGAAGCGTCCAGCCCAGACGCAGTGAGAACAAACCCTCCTCGATGACACGGAAGTTTGACACCTGGGGTAAAGGGGCTAAAAGAGAGCGAGACTTTGAAAATATATGTGCAAACTCACGAGTATAGTATTTGTATAACAGGTTCACATGGATGCACTTATGTCTGGAACCTACTTGTCTGACCGGTGATTGTCACAGAGTCTCCTATGAGGTTGGGGTAGATGGCATAGATGGTAAAGGAATAGTCTGTTTTAGGAGTCAGGTCTGTGGCCAGTGCTGTGCTCACGTCTGCCTTCAGATCAATCTGTCACACAACAGCAGGAAAAGAAGAGCTCAGA